CCCACAGTTCAACCCTGAGCTACAAATTTTCCCTTCTATTGGTCACCTAAATTGGTAGATTGGATTGATGAGGGGCAGGACTACCCATGTCAAGGAAGTAACCTCTGCCATTGTCAGCCGAGAAACGGAATCAGGTGTCCATCAGCAGAGCTGACACTAAGCCCTGTGTAAACAGTGAAACAATACTTGAACCAGGAGGAAGGGGCAATAATCCTTTTATTTGATTTTATTTTTTTTCAACCAGGAGAGCCTGTTTGGGGAGAAAGCGGCGAGCTGGTTTGCACCAAACCTATGCCTTGCCAACCCACACATTTTTGGAACGATGAAAACGGCAACAAGTACCGAAAGGCGTATTTTTCCAGATTTTCAGGTATGTGGTGAGACGCCTGTACCCTTCAAATTGAGACTTCCAGAGGTGCTTTTTTTTTTCCCAGGGGGCACCTGGATTTTCTTGTTTTTCTTGGAAGACGTTTCGCTTCTCATCCAAGAAGCTTCTTCAGCTCTGACAGGATGGTGGGGAACGGAAGGATTGATGCTCCTTGCAGACTGCTAGTCATTTGCACCCTTTTGAGGGTCGTTGAGGCCACTTGGAGGTTTAGCACTAGTAGGAATAGATTTCCAGAGGAAAAACAAAAAAAAATAATAATATTGCAGACTACAGGAACCAGGAGCACCACTCAGGTGACCCAGAGGACACAGATAAACCTCCAAGTGGCCTCAACAACCCTCTAAAAAGGATGCAAATGACCAGCAAATAAATCCTTCCATTTTCTTCCACCATCCTGTTAGAGCCGAAGAAGCTTCTTGGATGTGAAGAGAAACATCTTCAAAAGAAGAAAAAAAGAAGTCCAGTTGCCTCCTGAAAAAAAGCAACTTCAGGGCAACCATGACCTGGATGACGGAGAATCTCGACAGACCTTCAAACTGGGACTGTGTGTGTGTATATATGTGTGTGTGTTTGCTTTCCAGCCTTCCTAGTGCCTTTACAGTAAACTAATATTTGAACACACCCACCTAGAATTGCCGTGAGGACCAATATTTGCCTAGGGATTTGCCAATCCGGCCTCTGGATCCTTGTCTCGATTTGACTTTCTGATTTCCTTTTGCTCTGCCAGCAAAAGAGGAGAGCATTTTGTGTGTCATTCCTTCCCCTCTTTCAACACCTTTTCTGGCTTCTGGTTTCCAACTGGGTTTTATTTTGCAATGCAAAAAAAAAGAGAGAGAAAGAGAGGCCGGCAGCTCCCGAGGCTCCGATGGTGTCGCCCGTCAGATATCACAACTCTCCTCGTTAGTCTCTTCCGACACGCACAACCTGAGCTGCGATGGTGTGGCCCCCCGTTCGCAAACCTCTAAAAGGCAAAGGTGGGGAAGTCTCGTGTGTGTGTGTGTGTGTGTGTCTGGGGAGGGCAGATTTTTCTGACAACATTGTCGACATCATCGTCTTTAGTCTCTTCCGACATAGAGTAGAATAGAATAACAGAGTTGGAAGGGACCTTGGAGGTCTTCTAGTCCAGCCCCCTGCTTAGGCAGGAAACCCTATCCCATTTCAGGAAGGAAGAAAAGGAAGGAAGGAAGAAAAGGAAGGAAGGAGTTAGAAGGGACCTTGGAGGTCTTCTAGTCCAGCCCCCTGCTTAGGCAGGAAACCCTATACAATTTAAGACAGGAAGGAAGAAAGAAAAGGAAGGAAGGAAGGAAGAAAAGGAAGGAAGAAAAGGAAGGAAGAAAAGGAAGGAAGAAAAGGAAGGAAGGAGTTGGAAGGGACCTTGGAGGTCTTCTAGTCCAGCCCCTGCTTAGGAAGAAAACCCTATACCATTTAAGACAGGAAGGAAGAAAGAGAAGGAAGGAAGGAAGGAAGGAAGGAAGGAAGGAAGGAAGGAAGGAAGAAAAG